GTATACGACATAACTCCTCTAGGCGTCGAACTGTCAAGTTGCCTCTCAAACCTTGACAGTTCCAACTGAGTGTCGTCATTGAGAATTGGATGGTTTCTGGTGAACCATCAAACCCTTTGCTGACTTAGACAATTTTGAAGTAACCTCAACCTCCTCCCCTGCTTTTCGTTTCAGTTGACTCTCCTCCCCCTCTTTCACTGTTCGTTGAGCCTGGTACCGGGGCGCTCTGCTGCTGTGTCTCTTCCATGAAGACCCTCTCTTGTGATTGTTTTGAGATCCCCCTCTTAGTGGTGTAGACTTAGGAGAGTTACAACCGATCTCAAAAGTTCCATGTTTGGCCGCACCAGACATACCAAACGTATCACCTTCATCTTGTTCTGTGGCACCTTTTCGAGACTTGCCAATTTGGCCTCCACTTTCTCGCAAAGCAACCTGCGCTCTATTGAATCTTGTCTCAGAAGTTGATCGCAGTTCTTGTCCTCCAGTTATTGCCAACATATCGTTCCTGTGAGCTTTTCCCTGCTGGAATTCGGTGTGACTAGACGACTCTCCTACCTCCAGATTATCTTCTTCATTAGCTCTGCTGAAGTCAAATACCAGACCCTTATTTTTGTTATAAATCTTGGACACAACTGGAGCTTCCTCCATACGCAAACCAGCACGCTGAGCTATCGAGTCCTTAGATAAGTCATCTAAGACTTTCCTCATTCTGAAATCCCTTATTCTCCGTTCCTCTGGATCACTGCAATTCATGTATAACTGCATTTGTTCAAAAACTTCTGGAGCTATCAGCCCTGCAGGAGGTGCGAAGCCTGGAGGTACCGTAGGGGCGAGCAAAGGCATAATGTCTTCAGTCAGATGTGTGTTATGTTGTCTTTGAGTTAGCCTCTGCATACTCAAAGGGAGCTGTCTGGTCGGTCCTTGCAAAGTTGGCGTTTGCTGTCCCTTCTTCAAAGGACAAACCTTTTTCTCATGTGACAGACGAAAGCAGTGAAAACATTTCTTCTCGATTCTCTCATACTCAATATCAAGAGTGACTGATCCTCCTCCCTTAGGTAGATTTAAACACTTCTTCTCCCTTACTGGCAAGTCCAAGTCCATCACCACTAGAACTCTAATATAATCCTGAAGGTGGGGTTTTTCTGGGTCCCATTCAATATCCTTCACATAGCCTATTGCTCCCGCAACCGTGTCAATCGTCTTGATGGTAAGGAAGTTGACCGGGATGTTGAATATCCTGATCCAAACCGACGCTAATTGCAGGAAATTTGGAGGGGGAGTCTCTACCCATCTCTCCAACACCATTCCCCAATCATCAAAGGTTCAAAACCCATGTTTGAGAACTGTCTGTAAATCCGTTTCCAGTTCAAAGATGAACTGAAACCTCTCTTTGGTAAGCGCAACTCCACGAACCCTTTCATATACTTTCCAGATCTTTGGCATCGTACGTAACATTCTAGCCATGTTTTGGCAGGCTGGATTCAGGAAACGACCAAGGAGACTGCGACTGCTTCTTTCAATCGCACTAAAATCGTTGTCCTCCGGCAGCACAATCGGGGCATCATCCTCCAAAGTCATTCCTTGCATAACACTAGCCAGGTTATCCTCCATCAGCAGAAGAAAAATCTCTTTTTTCTTTATCAATCTACTCGAGAATATAAAGAAACTCGAGAAGTACACAGGCGGCGCAGAGATGAGCCCTAGATAAACACCAATTTTGTATGAAGATTTCGAAGAAAAAGGAGTATTTCCATAAAATCTTTGGATATTTCCACAAAGATTTTGGAAAATATTTGAATAGATCCATTTGCCGGCAAGGAAATAAACCTTCCGGAGGTTAGCTCTCCTCTGATTGGCCAAAAGGGAATCACCCTTAGAGAGAGAATTTTCGAAAAAAATCGCCATCAGATGAAACCCGTGAGTTTCTTAGTTAAGATTTTATTCTTTGGCATCATGCCAATTGACATATCGGGGGCGATTGGTTGGACTGTAACTGTAGAAATTTTACTGTAGAAATTAGTCTGTAGAAATTTTGAATGTAGCTGTATCTAATGTACCTGTAGAAATTAAATGAGAAAAAATGAAAAAAAGAAAGATATTCCTACAGCAACCCTACAGCATTATTTTTTTGCTTTAGAAAATGAGGCTCCTACAACCATTTTTTTAAATTTTTGACTTTAGCTTTAAAAACTACTTAAAGTATGATTGGTGATTTATATGGTTGTAGATAGAAAATAAAGCTAAAGTCACTAGTTAAATTCCAACCAATCATCCCTATCTTTTTATTTGTGACCAATATTTCAATTTCATGTTTTTTCTCTTCTATTTTTGAAAGCTTAATAAATCATTCTATTTTCTTTTCTTCTAAATTTACAACAGGTTTGTAATAAAAAGGAAAAAAAAAGTTGACAAATGTGAACAATTCTTTTTCTCCGGAAGATAATAAAACAAACTAATGTACGAATTTGAAGCCGTAACAAACTTTCTATTATTGCAAATTTGCAAATAACTGTATTAATTTCAAGATTTAACTCACGATATGGACTCATAACACACAAAAGCACGAAAAAAAATCCATGCGTACATATATGCAGTAAATATAGAACATAAGTATATGTACATACTGTGAAAAAAAACAAACATCCCTTACTCATTTTTTCTTCTTGGTTTCGTTCTTGTCATCATGTTGGAGGATCACAGGAGCCGCCGGTATACTAAACCACCACTCTCTCAACCGCCTAATCAGCCGCTCTGTGCTTGCTCTTCGTGGCGGTGAGTATCTTGTGAAAAGCTCCACAAACACCACCAGAAGCAAGTAGCGTCCTGGAACAAAGGCCAACATGGTCGCTGCAACCACCATTGCAACTGCAAACTTCTCGCTCGCCTGAGATAGGCGTGTGTTAGAAAAAAAACACACAATGTGTGTTGAGAGCAAAGAGGGTGTTGTAGTAGACAAACCTGAGGGAAAAGCGAGAATAGTAAGGCTCGGAACTTGAGGAGAATGATGTTTCCGTCTTGAATGTTCTGTTCAAGCTCCGAGATCCCGTTCTGGACAGCTAAAAGCTGTTCCATCGTGCTCATAGGTGGAGGAGCGGTTACTTTCAGCTCAACCATGAGCTTTCCCTTGCTGAAACATCTTGTGAGAACCATGAAGATTGCGGAGAAGAGGGATGCAAGAGCAAAGACGTAAACAAGCCATCCTTTCCAGATTATTAAACTTGTGAAGAGACAGAAAACAATAGACTTCATAGGATCATCCCAATACAAGAGAGACAAAACCACGTTCCAGGTTTCCATTACCGGAAGCATCAGTTCCTGCGAAATAAAATAAGGAAAAACACAGTTTGGTGATTTCTTAAAACATTGATAAACGCTGTTGTCACTTTGTTTGCTTTACCTTCATGACGGCTAAGTTGGTGTCAATGCCTTCCATCTTGACTCCATTAACAGTCTCTTGTGCAAGCACTACCTTCTCGTAGTTCTTACGTGACTCCTTAACTGCTCTCTCTAATGGATTCACATCTCCAACCACTACTTCACCAACCACAAGACTACTCGTCTTCTCACTCGTTCTGCTTCTTGGACTCGACCCTCCAAACACAGAACCAAGCTGTGAAACCATATCTGAAGCTGAGGATTGCAATGTCCCTGCTGCTGAATAAATAACACTCAATGATTACTATCGACAAAAATATACCATAAGGTTTTTGATAGGAAGTAGTTTAAAACCTGTATCCTTGGATCTATTTGATCGATGAATCTCTCTTGAAGTAGACATCTCTGCAAGCGTCTCAAGAATCAGATCTCCACCAGGAAGCTGATCACAGAGATTGAAAGGGAGAAGATTCTCGTAACACATGGAGTTTGTCAAACTTAGTTCTTGGATAGCTTGCACACGTATGATACCAAGTACAGCTTTTGAGAGTGCTTCATCTCTTGCCAAATCCGTGATCTTGTACTTGTTTATGTATCTGTGAACGTACAATACTTCTCTTATAATAGCTAGCCAGTAGTCACGGCGTGTGTGGCCTTTAAGCTCTGGGAACTCCATAACCACTGGTTCTGATCTATAAAAGAAGTTAAAATTGGTCACAGACAAAACAAAGCAGAGCATTTTTTTTCAGTTTGTAAATGAAAAAAGAAGATTGGCCTTACAGAGATATAGACTTGTAAGAAACGGCCTTGTCGAAAAGCCGAGTGCCCCAAGGACCGGTTAACTCAGGTTTGACTATTTGCTTTAGATCTTCCGATAAGCTATATCGCTTTGGTTTGTCATAAGAGACAACCTTTAAGGCCTCAAAATATAGTGAATGGTCGGTTAGAATCAAGCGACCTGGCCACGTTGACATTCCAACATGTTCAAGAACTGGTTGTGTAGTAACTGTCCCGTCTATTTCCAGAATCTTCTCTCTTTTTGGTCGAACACCAGAAAGCAGAGACGATTCAGACTGTGTCCTCATCTTCTTTATTGCTCTATCAACAAAAAAAAATTATCTACACAGTGATACAAGAAACATGAGTTAAGTGTTATAAGGAGAGAGAGAGACGTTACCTCTCAAGTCCAATCAAATACTTGTCGTAAAAAGAGAACTGGAGTCGACCACCCGTTGATGAAGTAAGCATTCCAAACAGATTCTCACATATGATCACATCAGCTATAATAGGAACTGCTGGTGCTATCCGTGAGAAGGCTTCTAGACTCACTGTTGCATCTTCTTCCACCTGTTTTTTTATTTAAAAAAAAGGATGATAAAGAAGTGAATGATTATAATGATTGTAGAAGGAAAGGAGAAGGCTTACACTGAGCAAAGCCTGGCTAGCAACAGCTGGGACTTCCCAAACAACCATCATGTCAAAAGTTAAACGCCGAAACTTTTTATCAGCTAGATGACCTGTTACTCCTACAGAGAGTGAAAGTGCTCTGAAACAACAGTACTCTAGAAAGTTCCTTGCAAATAGAGAAGGCTGCTTTATAGTCTCAGATGCTTCTTGTTTGAAACTATCTCGCAAGTCATTCGCAGAAACACCAAGTATTCTACATCAAATAGCACATAGTCCAAAACCATAGTCACATAAATATAATGACAAAACACACACACACATATACAGAGATGAAGGGAACTTACTTTGAACATCTGCGGACAACAACATTGGCGACAGGAGAGAGCTCAGGAATCCAATTGGTGCCAGCAGATGGGGATCTTCCCAATTCTTCGATATCTTCATCGAATGAGCTTTGTTTAGGGAGCAACCATTTGAAAGAAGAATCTTTAACCAAACCTTCCAGCATATTAAGGGTTTTGTTCGACATTAGCATAGAACTCCTTACTTCGTTACCAGCCTGTTTTGTCTGATACAATCACTCAATTGAGTTCAATGCAAAACCTTATTAGCAATTCAGCTTAAAGGTGGTTGGAAAGTAGGTTTGATAGAGATCATAAAAACATATTTTCCAAATTTAAAAGAAAGACTAATAACCTTAAATCTACAAATAAAAG